CACCTCCAATCACCTCCAATCATCTCCGGTCACACCTCCAATCACCTCCAATCACCTCCAGTCACTTTCAGTCACTTCCAGTCACGTCCAGTCACTTCCAATCACTTCCAGTCACTCCAGTCACTTCCAGTCACTTCCAGTCACTTCCAGTCACTCCAGTCACTTCCAGTCACTCCAGTCACTTCCAGTCACTCCAGTCACTTCCAGTCACTTCCAGTCACTTCCAGTCACTTCCAGTCACTTTCCAGTCACCTCCAGTCATATGTAATCGCATACAATCATTTCTTTATCTTCAGTCTCTACAGTATTTTACAGTCGTTCCAATATATTACAATCAACTACAGTCATTCCTACTTCCAGTCTTCGTACGCGATTTTGGCGAGTTGGGTACCCCTCGCTGTGAACCCTCCCACCCCCACTAACGGTTTTTTTGCCCCTTTTGGATAGGCAGGGCTGCAACCGCTTTGACACTGCTACGTGATCACGTCACGACTTCAGCCCACCGTGTCGTGCACACGGGACGGCGGTGCCGAGCGAGAGCGCTTTGATCTGGCTGGCTAGGCCTGCCTTCCACAGTGTGCGAGCTGCTGCAGCGGAGTGTGTGATGGGAAGAGACAGGACGCACGGCTGCTACGCTTGTTTATTCTTTATAAACAATTCCAGGTGCGTCATAGAGAGGGAGGGCTAACAGGAACTTTTTGCTGGCGATTTGCAAAAGAGCTCCGTGGCATTTATCGTATTGTTAGCATTCATTCGATGCACAACACCAACGCCCAGAGGCTCTGCACAGTACTGACGACGGACAGGGCGACGAAAAGGAACTGGTGAAGGCGGATAGGAGAAGACAGCGAACAGGAAGGTGAGGGAGAGAGAAAAGGGGAGAAGGGGGGAGGCGTATTGTTAGGGAAAGCGGTGGGGATGGGCGTCGCATTGCAATAAGCACGAAAACGCTATACTGCCACTGGCCCAACGCTACGCCGAGCCACGACAAGCCGACGGTATTTCCATTGCCACTCCGGGGACGTGGACGAGCGACAGGGCATCAGCCGGCAGAGAGGTCGCCAAATCCGACCTAGATTTGCTCATTACAATGCAGTAAGTCAGTCTCCCCCTCCCCTCTCCTACCTCCCATTCGCTCTCGTGTTGGTTTACAAACAGACACACGCACACACACTCACTAAGACGAGCGCCATCGCCGCAACACACTTACCCTCGACGGAGAGCATGATGGCGTGGTTGATCTTGGGCTCCGTGTTGACCTGGCACTCGTAGATGCCGCCGTCTCTCAGCTGGACGAACTCGATCTTGAGGTCCCAGTCGTCCGAGCCCTCCGGGTGCACGACGGCGAACCGGCCGTCCCCCGTGTACGTGAAGATGGTGTTGGTGAGGATGTGCAGATCCCGCTTCCGTATCCACGACACCTGCGTCAACAAAGCGGAAGAGAAACGAGTTATTTCGATTCGCTCGGGGCCCGCTGTAAGCGCGACCAAAGAAGCGCGCTACAGCGACGTCTACCGCGCTCACACGAGGCAGCATACAGAGAAGCGGAGGAGCGCGCTCCTCCGAAACACACTCTCTTCATTGGTTTCCTCATTCCCCCAGTGAGAACGCGCGAGGCGCACTCGCGCTGCGGCAAACCGTATATTTTCTGCTTGCCAACGAACGGGCACACCTCCCCCCTCCCCCTAAGCCGCCCCGCTCACCTCCCGCACCTGGCCGCAGGCCAACCCACCCTCCCCAACCCGTTCCTGCTGCAACACCCACACCATGATCACCCACCCCTCTCCCTCCCCAAATTCCTCACCCCTCCCTCCCCCGATATGGCAGCAATCTGTCTCTGAGGCGCATAGCTAGTCCTCCTTCCAAGGAGAGTCCGAGGGGTCGGTAAAGGGGGGGA